CCCCCGCCCTGCCCGGAAAGCTACCATAACCCCCACAAAAACGTGTCCTCCAGAACGGGGCGGGGGGGGGACGGGGGACCTACTGCCCTCCAGGTGCTACCGTAATGCCCTTAATACTGCACAGGTAAATGGGCACACCTTCGCTCATGTGGCCTACTCTCCCCCCAGAGCTGGAGAGGACCCAGGCGTCTGGGCTCCCAGCCCCCCACTCTCACCCCCCAGCCCCCACTCCCTTCCCAGCGCTGGAGGGAACCCGGGCGTGCCCTCGGACGGGGCAGCCCCCCCGGCGTGGGGGACACAGACAGTCAGGCCCAGGCATGTTGGGGCAGGATCTCACTGAGTCACGGGCGAACCCATGTTTGGGCTGCAGGGCCTGGGAGCCCGGACGCCTGGGTCCTCTCCCAGCTGGAGCGGGGGTGAGAGCTGGGGGGCAGGTGATGTCAGACGCCTGGGTGCCCTCCTGCCCTGGGAGGGGAGTGGGGGCTGAGAGCAGGGAGTCAGGACTCCTAGCTTCTGGGTCCCATCACTCTGTGGGTGGTAAGAGCTAATGGTTACAGCAGCGCCAGGAGGGTGGGGTTGGGAGCCAGGACGCCTGGATTCCACACACAGATGCGGGTGGAGCCCAGGAAGGGAGCTGCCCGGGTGGGAGCCAGGGCTTATTCATCTCCCTTCTAACCCCCCTCTGCCCTCCATCCTAGGAGCACCACTATTAGCAGGAATATGGTACAACCTGCAGAATCCTTTGGGGGGGAGGGGGGTCTAGGACTCATTTTGATGGGCGCAGCAGTGATGACATTACGGTACCACAGGATCCCCTGTACTGCTAGCACATCAAACATGGAATTACGGCACCACCTGCCAGCATCGGAGCCCCCGTTTTGCACTGCACGTTATTAGCAGCATTACGGTCCCCTGCCTCCCCCAAGCATCTTTCGTGGTGCACACTGTTAGTGCTGGCGTGGTACCCCGGGGCTGACTGCACCTGTACCCAGTTAGCAGATGGCAGGGACGCTCTGGGAGGGGAGTGGGAGCTGGGGGGCTGGGAGCCCGGATGCCTGGGCTCTCTCCAGCTCTGGGGAGCAAGATCCCCCCATAGCTTTTGGGGCGGCGGGGGGGGTGGAAATCCAGCCCTGCCCCTGCCAGAGCCTTGCCCAGATGAACACGCCCAGGGCAGGGACCTGAAGAACGGGTCTGGCTGCGGCTGGGGCTGGGGAGGAGCTGCCGGGTGGGGAAACCGAGTCAGGTTTGGGAGGCCGTAGCCTTGGGTTTGCCCAGGTCTGGGAGATCTAGGAGCAAGGGCTGGGGGGTGAGAGCAGAGGGGCTGGGAGGCCGGACACCTGGGTGCTCCCCAGCTCTGGGAGGGGAGCGGGGGCTGTGGGGTGAGAACAAGGGGGTTTGGGAGCCTGGGTTCTCTCCACATCTCATCTGCCCTGGGGCAGCTGGGAAAATCCAGGCTGGGGGGACCCCAGTTATCACCCCCCAGGACAGGCGTCACCCCCTGCTCCCCCCCGAGCTGCTGCCCCCGGGTGTAGGAACAGATGCTATGGGGAGGATCAGCGGTGAAGTCGATGAGGCTAACGTGCCCCCAGGCCAGCTGGACACGGCTAACTCATACCCACATGGTTTGCACGCATGTGGAAGCCAGCCAGAGGTGGCCAACACATGTGGCTGAGATGCTCCAAGGCAGCTAGACATGCCTAACACACACCTACATGGTTTACACACGTGTGGAAGCCAGCCAGACACGGCCAACACACAGCTACGTGGCTAAGACACTCCTGCAAGGCAGCTGGACACGGGTAACTTGTGCCTACATGGTTTATGCATGCCTGGAAGCCAGCTGGACCCAGCGAACACGTGGCTACGGGCCAGCCGGGCCCGGCTAGCACACGGCTGGTGGGCTAACACCTGCCTACCGGGCAAGTGGACATGGTTAACATGTGCGTGCAAGATAACACCAGCCCGACATGGCTAACGCACGCTAGCTGGACACAGGTACGATGCAGCTACGTGGCTAGCACGGGCCCGGACAGCCGACACGCACGCGAGCGAGCCAGACCCCGAACGGCAGGGCCGGCCAGAAACGGCTCACACGCACCCGCGTGGCTAATGCAGGGCAGCCCAAGCGGCTAACGCAGGGGCACCGTTAACACACGCCTGGATGGCTAACACGTGCCCCTCCGCCCAACCCTGGGGACCCCTCCATGGGCACAAAGACCCCCCACACCACACCACACTACACCACAGGGCCAAGGTCCCAGCCCTTGGACTTGCCCCCCATGGGCCCGGCCCCGAGGGATCCCCCCCAACAGGCCCAGAGACCACCTGCCCAGGCCCCAGAGATGCCCATCCAGCCCCAGGGGCCTCCCCCCAGCCCCCAGGGGCCAAAGCCAAGCTCTGGAGAGCCCTCCACCGCCCCCGCAGCCCCTAGAGACCGCCGCCCCCAGAGCCCGGG